AACTGGCACGACTTCTTGGTTCCTATGTTAGCACTTCACAGCGTTGATGCTTTTGTTTTATTATTCAAAACAAGTCAACAACTTGTTGTTTAATGGTGTTCTCTGAAAGGCTGGCGAAACTGCAGACTGTCGGGGAACCATGGTTACATACGTAACCTAGAGACGTTTCTTACAAGCCCTATTATAGGATGGGGCTATATGCAGAGTGCTTTTTTATTAGGCCACTGCGGTCTTCTTTCCATCCACCTGCTGAAATGATTCGTCTTTTTTGCTGGAGCCTGCCTGTGCAAGAAAACCAAATTACTCTGTGTAAATGGCCTTGTTGGTGTTAGCCCAGGAATCCAGGTAATGTGTATATGTGTAAACAGTGCTCCTGAATCCACCCCTCCAGACATTTTTATCAAGTAATCTACCATCAGAGTCGAGCCCAAGCGGTTAGCGGATGTGCGGCAACACTTTGAAGTCAGCTAAATGCTATTTTGCCTAAAATGCTATTTTCTTTTAACAATTTTTTCTTATTTATTGTATTATACAATTTATTTTGTTGCATTATTTTTTATTTTACATTATATATATATATATATATATATATACATATACAGATTTATGTTACAAACTTATAGAATTGTACAGTAAGAAAGTTATTTCCTTTAACCAGGAAATTAACGTTCTTAGAATTGACAAGACGGTTGACCCTGAGTGGTCAGCTAAATATCTACAGTGGATCTAAAATATTAATAATTAATCATAATTAGTTATGGTTAATTATTCATATTTCCCCATGAGCTGATTCGCTACATATATATATATATATACTTTTAAATGTGTGTGCGTATGTGTGTGTGTGTGTGTGTGTGTGTGTACACATTTCAATATATATAAAATATTCAATACAAAAACATATGGCCCACTTTACCTCTTTTCACCCTTAAATATTTACTTAGATATTAGGGCTGCACGATATATCGAAATATCGCAAATGTAAATATTGCAATATGTATATCTCAACAGCGTGCGATATCATTATCATTTTAATAATAGGCTACTTAAATCAAAACTTTGCAAAAGGTCAAAGTTTTAGTTCGACGCATATAGAAGAGAATTGCTTGACGTTAAAAAGAGTTAAGTGCAATAAGTTGCAGAAAACAACTCTTTGCCGTCTCGTCTTGCTGTCTGACTCACAGCTGCGCACACACAGAGAGACACATTTCAGACCGAGTTGATTCATCTTTTTCACATATCTCCTCCTTATGTTTTAACTGACACATAGACACAGAATTATGTCAATAGTGCCCGTCTCGACAATCATTCTCGTAAACGCAGTCGGTTATGTTTTAAATGAATGTAAACAGCTGAGAAAGATATCAGATGTTGGATTTTAGTTTAAATTCAGTCGGAATTTAAAGGGACAGCAGCCTATAAATACGTGCTGCTGATTGTGTCACTAATGTTAACAAAACAACAAAACGTCTATAACAAAGATTAATCTAAATTTAATTAATACAGTGAACACTATGCAGTGTTATTTTACACTTAATTATTAAATTTCTGTACCTGAATACTACTGTTTATTTTATCTATGCTTGTAAATTGTGTATTTCTTTTTTTCTTTTTCTTGCTTTTTTTTTTACTGACTGTTCACTTGCCTTTAATCATGTTTGAACTTTCTCAGACTATAGTTTTTGCTGTGGTATATGAAGAAGTACTTAAAGTATTTGGAAAGCAAAGTTACAATGATATAAAATTAGTGTCATTATTTTTGTGTTTGTATGTTCACATTGATGTTAAATTACATTCTCTGATTTGTGACATTACATCTATAGCATCTATGAGCGCCACAAATGTTGGCACTAACTCATTGAATAAATGTTGACATTCTCATTGAACAATGTCAGTGACCTCTAAATGGCTAAATATCAGCCAAAATAACATTCCATAACAGCCTTTGAGTAGAATAGTGCAAATGTGCATTGAGATGCAGTATCTTGAAGCACTCGCAAAAGCAGTACATCAAAACCTTATTATGCTTTTTGAAATTTGTATAATTTTAGAGCATCTAAAAATGTATTATTTAGCATGGCAGAGAGAATCAAGCAGGTTGTGGGGCAATGAGCTGGCAGATTGTATGAGGTTGAGGCTGATAGCTGGTTGGTTGGTTTGATGGAAGCTGTCTCACTAAAGCCTATGTTGAGATTCAGTTCACATCGGCTAAACCCAGCCGACGTTTCTGCCTCTGGCTTCTGCAGGCTGGTGTGAAGCTCACAAAGGCTCTTTAAGGACTCAATCTGCTGTCAGAGACCTTGTGATTTATCTAATGCTGTAAATGAAGGTGGAGGCTGGATTTTTATCAGGCCAGTGTGAGTTAAGGAAGCATATGTCATGACTTGTTGAGGAGCACTATTACTCTGGATATTTGAATAGGCTTTTTACTTTTTATGACAATATTGGAATATTTGTAAAAATATGTGAATTGCTGTCAGTATGTTGAACAAAAATGTCAGTGGACGATTGTGAGTGTGAAATTGCTATTATACAACAGTTCAATAAACAAGTAGTTAGAATGGTGAGTAGCTGCATTTTAAACACTGTATTGATTTTGGGTTGTGCGTACTTTAAAGTTTTCAAGGGGTCATATGATGCTGCTAAAAATATTTTTTGTGTGTGTATTTGGTGTAATGAAATGTGTTTATGCAGTTTAAAGTAAAAAACACACATTCTTTTCCACATACTGTACATTATTGTTTCTCCTCTATGCCCCGCCTTTTTGAAACACGCCGATTTTTACAAAACTCATCGGTCTGAAAAAGCGAGGTGTGCTGTGATTGACCAGCTATCCAATGCGTTGTGATTGGACGAATACCTCAGTGAGATGGAAATGTTATGCATTTACCATATTGTGATGCTGTGTCCCGGCCGGAGCAACGAGACATAAACATTAAAACCCATTACAAACGTTGATCTGAAGAAGTATGAAAACACGTAGCATGGAGGGAATCAAATGTGCAGGTCAAATTAAGTTCTTCCCCCATCGCGCAGCTATAGTTTCATCCTCCATTTCACATACTCACCGGTTATAGATCACCCTCATGCATCTCATAAGGAAAGACATCAAACAAATATCCGGCTATTGACCTGTCCTCCCAGACTTGATTGAGACTCATAGCAGGCTGCAGGAGCAGAATAACAAACAAAGGAGGCAGGAGGTTAAAAAAATGGAAACCAAATCGATAGAGATGACTGAAATGACGAAGGACTTGAAGGTCAGAGCATAGACGAATCTACGAAGACTTGAACGTTGCGCTCAACTACTGGGAACTCTTCACGTAGACGTTCTCTTTTCTCTTTGTCTACTTTAACTTTGTCCTCTTCTTCTTCTGGTCTCTCGCTCTCTCTCTTGCTCTATCTTTCCCCCCCCCCCCCCCCCCCATCTCAGACCTGATCTGCACTGATTTTTTTTCGCTTCCATGATAAAGTTTTTTCATTTTCTGCTCAATGATTGAGCTGCTCTCTGATATTGCAATGGTGGATCAAAGAAGTTAGTTGAATTGGCTAAAATGACCATACTGCCATTTCATATGTTGATTATTCAATACAATAATGATGCTTTGAAAGGATATTCAGTGCAGTACTTGATGGTTCAGAACTATACCGAAACTTAAAATTTGTCCTGACACTTCTAAATAGTCTGATGCTTCAAAGCAATTTAGTTTCAAAACAGATTTGATGCTTCAAATCAATTCCAATAGCTCAAAGTGACAGTGATAATTCAAAACAGATCTGAAGCTTAAAAAAATACTGATGTTTCAAACAGATTTGATGCTTTAAAACAATGTTGGTATTTCAAAACAACATTGACGCTTCAGTACAAATTTGATGCTTCAAATTTACAGAAATTTTAAAATGATACTGACAAATGTAAAAAGTATTGATTCTTCAAAGCGATATTATTTCAAAAAGACTACTTCAAAGAAATACTAATATTTTAAAACAAATTTGATGCTTCAAAACAATGGTTAAATTTGATGCTTTAAAACAGGCTTGATGCTTCAAAGCAATTCTGATTATTCAAAACAATTCTGACTAAACAATATTGATGCTTCAAGGTTTGGTGAAGAAATGTCTGAATGTTAAACATGTTATGTATCACGGTGACTTTCAAGGCTTATTCGAAATGTGATGTCCCTAGTGTTCCTATATCGCTCAAAACCCACCAGCTGTTTTGCACTCTGAAATGTCAAGAATATTACGCTCATTTGCTAGACATTTGTTATAGTTTGACACTTAAACCGCACGGCCCACCAGGGTCCATATTTGTAAAAGCCAAAGCGGCGGCTTTGACCCTCATAAATTAAAGTGTGTGTTCGGCAACTCTGATGTGCTTTAAAAAGTATTGAATTCCTGTGAGGTGGATGAATTGCACGCCGCCGTCTCGATAAGGGGGAGGGCTGACACCGTATAGCTTACTCCTCTATCATATTCACTGCCCTTTCCAAGTGTATCACCTCCCCCATCGAATCATAATCCTGTTCCTGAGATACGCCGGGCTGAAAATGAAATATGTTTGCAGGTTTGTAAATGTATCACACACATTTTTCCCAGTGTAAGTGTGTAGACCCAATACATTTAGTACAATCCAAACATTGCCTTTGGCAGCTGAATATGTGTCAAAGTTTTGCTGCCGTAAGCCACTGAGGATTTTTTCATTTCTCTCTTAGGCCCTCGCTTTCCCCAAGTCTGTCTCTCTCTCTCTCTCCGATTCCCTCGACTCCTGAGAAATATATTGAGGGTATGATTGGTATCCACACTGCAGTTGATCAGCTGAGAACAGGCCCATAGGCACAGAATCCTGTCTGTCCTTATTTGGATGAATGAATTATTAATATTTCACTGGTTTATCTGAAGTTACAGCTCCTCTTGCTTGTTGTGGGGTTTTTTTAAATCATTTTTTGTCTCTCTCTCTTTCTCCCTCTCGCTCTGTCCCTTGCTCATTTCGCAGCTAACAAAGCTGACTTTATATAGGAAGAACACGACTTGCTCCTCTTGCAGTTGAATGGAAATAAAAGAGACTCTGTGACCTTGGAAGATGAAGATGTTGTTGCCATGGGAACTCTTAATCCTGCTGTCACTCAAGAGCTGCCTTGCAGGTACAATAACCTCCGACTTGTCTTTGATAGCTCACCTGTTCTGCATAGTCCCCACTTCAGCAGAGAGAGTGGCTTTTTATTCCTTTGTCTAATCATTTTCTCATTCCTCTAGAGACAGATGCATGCTGGGAACAAGCTCTCGTGGTTGCCCCAGCAGGACATTTGTCTTGACACAGTTTCTGATTTTTCTCTTCAGCAAGAACTTCACCCAACTTACTTTGGCATGCTTTGCTTGTTCATAACAGACCAGCATTGGAAACGTTATTCATGTTTATGTAGCTTTGAAGAATGTTCTAAAGCAGTTTAGTTTTCATTTTATATGGGGTATTGAGTGGCAACCCAACATTATTTTTTTTATTTTTTGTTTTTACTTTTTATTTTATAATTTCATACAAAATGCCGTTAAAATCAGACATTTTGACCTTATTAATATTGCATAAATAAATATTTTTTTTACTTGTTTTACAGTATATAAAATGCGTACAATTTATTTAAGAAGCAGCATTGCATAATAATTTTCACTTTCATAGATTGCACCTTGAATATAAATGTATTTTTAACTTACTTATGCTTAAAACAAGTGGAAAAATCTGCCAGAGCAATAAGATAAAAATAAAATATACTCTTATTAAAGATGCACTCTCTAAAAAAGTCTTAATTTTTCATGCAATGTTGTCTTTCAGATAAATAAATGTATTTTAAATAAATTTACAATAAATGTTACATTTATTTTAAATAAATTTAAATATTTTTTAAAATTTAATCTGAAAAATTAAACAAAAATTATTTTAAGAATATAGGATTTTGTTTGCAGTGTTTTAAGTTGTTTTATCATTATTATTATTAAAGTGAATAATGTATGTACATAAATATTTGTATTATTTTTAAGCCTGTTTATTTTACTATGTACAGTATATTCCAGTGTTTTATTTTTCATTTTATTATTTGCATGTAGCATTGTTTTTTTATTCCCCACAATTAGAACAATCCTGTGACCCACCACTTTGAGTTGAAGACGAATGTTTTACAGAGTATTAAAAGTTATTGGCATCACTACAACTACTTAGAGCACTTTAGAAATGCACTAAAACTTTCCATGTTCATAATCAGACCCTGTCAGCAGTGAAGTGTTTCAAAAATCTTTTAAATTTCCCATAAAAAAGTCCTTATTCTCCAATGGTTCATGCAACTCTCAGCACATACTGCAGCGCTGTAAGGAAGAGGCCGTCTTAAGAGGCAGGTGCCCTATTTAAATGAACCAGTGTCCCGCACTCAGTACCAGTGCTCTAGTTATTGCTGTTGTTGTGCTACAGTAACTATGCCAACTCAAATGGGCATTTGCATTCAAGCCACAGGTGCTCTTTTGATTGCACAGCTTGCTATTCAGAAAGCTTAGCTGGAGAGAAGGAAGTGTAGAGGCCAGACAGCCTCAGATGGAAGGGCAGCAGCTATTCAGTGCGGAGGACCTGAGGAGACCAAACCCACATGTCTAACAACCTGCCATATCTCAGCTTTGAAGACAGATTGTTGTCTTTTTTTATTTTCAGTCACAGTGCTGATGAAACATTGTCAAACTGTGCGATAATTAACTGCAGTAAATTTCCTGTCAGTGTAGAAGTTGATTAGATCTCTTGAAGATAATTGATAGTAGCATCAGGAAATAAATAAATCCTATGTAGCCTAGACATATTCAGAAATAATTCTCATTTATGAAAATAGGTTATATCGAGGGAAAGAATAATGGTGATCTACCAAAAGTCAAATGGTTATTTAACGTTCAGATACTGAATATGAATGTAGTTAATATTTAAACAATGAATGGATCTATAAGGATGTGGTTATAATAATAAGCATAGGAAGTTATTAAACTGGGTTGGCTGCCCTCATTTTAAAGAATCCCTGCTGGAAATTTGATTCTTTGTAAGTGTAAGTAAATTATTAATAACATTAATAACATTACAGTAACATTATGATTAGAAATAAAATGTACAAATTCATTTACACAACAATTTCACAGTGGATTACACAGTGGGACAGTCATTCTTGTCGAACCAATTCAATTCAAATGAACTCATGACATTATTATTATCACAGCTGAAAACAGTTATGTTGCAAAAGAACAGCATTTATTTGAATTTTTTGTAACATAACATTTTTTGTCTTTACTATCACTTTTGATAAATGTAATGCATCCTTGCTGAATGAAAGTATTAATTCCTTTATAAAAGCATACTGACAACAAACTGTTGAACATTAGTGCATATTAGGAGTGGACATTCTGATTATATTTAATGTTTACATAAAAATAAACATATTCCAACAGCAGATCATAATTCATTACCCTCGCTATTTAACTATACACTGTTAAAAAAAAAATCCATAAATATAGGGCACAATGTACTGTATAAATATGAAGGAATTTCATTACAGGTGTTTTTCCTGTATTTTGAATTTTGAAATTCATTGTGTTGTGTTTTAGCGTTAATGGAAATGTCCGTACAATTACTGGATGATGTCCCGGCAGAAAATTACCAGTACATTTCCTTTTTTTTTCTCCAGTGTACTTGGAATGAACAGTCCTGCTTGAGAACTCTAGATGCTTCCATTGTGTTATATTCTTCCCTGTTGTAAATTCCATAAAGGGTTGGGGGCAAAATCATCCATGAGAAAATGTGATGGGGACGTGTCCCCTCCGCAAATGACAGCTAAATGTGGACTACTGTAAATGTGCTACTCCTCGCTCTAAATGCTTCGTTAATTCCTGTCGTTCAAAGGACACACAAAAGGGAAAGTGAAAAAAGGTAGCATCTCCCACAGCGTGCGGAGACAGGGGCCTCACCCCAGGAAATCACGCCCTGGACACTTCCATTAGCTTGATGATGTGGGAGGGTAATTTTTTAGGTTAGGGACCTGTAAAAATGAATTTCATTCACTCAAAGAGAACAGGGAAAAAATACAGGTGAGTTTTATTGAGGAAGGAAAAATATACAGTAGAAAGCACAATTCCTTTCTCTGTGAAGAGGCAGACATGTTTCTGAGAGCTTGTTTATTCATTTAATAAATGATACATTTCACTAGAGTAATTACCACAACATGGGGTAATTAAGGAGGTGGATTGGTGTCTTGGCAGCAGTCAACCGAAACAACAGACTGCCATGCGTGTTACGGGCCTGCCAAAAGGAGGACATCATGTTGGTGCGCTTTCTGTTACAAGAGGGGAAATGAAAGCTGTTCCTCTGGCACGTGTTTATGTTGCAGATCTAATGAGCTCATTGTGGGAAGTTGCTGAAAATAAATGAATAGCACACATTAGACATAATGTGGACCTGATGTGTTCACATCTGTTTTACGATCTAGATTCATGTTCCAGATTGTGGATTTTGAGCTTTTTGAAAGTCTTGTTCTTTCTTCTAGAGAGGATTATTCGACATGGCCCAGTGTTCACCCAAGAGCCCAGTGACAGTGTTTTCCCTTTAAGCGCAGAGGACAACAAGATATTTATTAACTGCAAAGCCAAGGGAAGTCCAGCACCACATTACAAGTATGACTATTTTCCTCAAATGAAAATATAGTTTGTTTTTTTTGTTTTGTGCCTGGAATTTATGCCTTGAATTAAACAAAAGTTTAAGAATTAAAAAAAAAAAAGTTGAAATGAAATATGAAATTTGAACATCAGATTTTGAAGATTCTGCATTTGTGACAAATTGACATTGACAAAACATTTTGTCACTAGTGGCAGCCTTTTGAACAGTGTTATTTTAATATTATTAATGTACTATTATAATATTTATAAAAAATGTGAGGGTTTTTAATTTTAATTTTAGTTTGAGTTATTTTGTTGTGTGTTTGTTTATATATATATATATATATATATATATAGTTAGTTAGGTAGGTTTTTATTCATTTTGAATTCAGTTTTAGTTTTACTCATTTTAATACTTTGTATTTCAGATATTTGCCAAGGCTACCAACTTGGCCAACTAATTTTAGTTTTCTTTTAGTTTTTTTTTTAGGTTTTTATCTACAATTTATATTTTATTTAAGTTCCATTTAAAATTAGCACATTTTTTGTTTTAGTTTTTTTTTTTATAACATTGCTGCTTTTGGATTCATTGTATACTGTATTTTATTCTTGATGTAAATAATGTCTTCGAATTACACAGAACATATTTGTTTTTAATTCTTAAATTTCTTATCATCATTATCCTATGCTCACTCCACCAATTTCATATTTAGGTGGAAATTCAACAGGAAAGATCTTGATATTGACATGGACTACAGCCTTGTTGAGGGAAACCTTTTGATCAATAACCCTCAGGCAACTAAACACGGTGGTGTTTACCAGTGTATCGCCACTAATGCATTTGGAACCATCCTGAGCCGAGAGGCTAAAGTGGAGTTTGCATGTAAGTGCAAATTAAACTGTATGTTTTGTATTTGTGAACATTTGAAAATGGCACCTGACAGTCTCTTCTGCACTTGATTGCTATTACTTTGACTATACTGTCTTTATGTATGCATCCTTTGGAAGCTTAAATGCATAATATGTAAAATGTGCACTATGTTATCTTTTATATGGTCCATTAGTGGGTAAGATATACTTTCTTCCCTAGATGTAGCAGGCTTTTATACTGACAACTATATTTTCCTATCTGGAAGATTCCATCAGGAGATGTCCAATGGAGCTATCTAAAGTGCAGCCTGTCGTGAAAAATAAAAGTCTTAAAGAGGTCATATGATGCGATTTCAAGTTTTCCTTTCTCTTTGGAGTGTTACAAGCTGACTGTGCATAGATACGATCCCTGAAGTTGCAAAGACTAAAGTCTCAAAACCAAAGAGATATTCTTTATCAAATGGCTTGATACCCCAGCCCATTCCTTGGGGGTTTTTTTTTTTTTTTTTTTTTTTGTCCAGGGGTGAAACCATGGAGGTCTATATAATGCCTGGGAAGAGATGTGTGCAGTTTGAAATCTGACATTTTCCTTGTGGGAATCACCTTTTTTCCCCACTCTGGTGCAACTAAGATTATGCTGCTTTGCATTTTTATTTTCTCATAATTATATATATATTTTATGGATAAATATTTAGCAAATATATATATATATATATATATATATATATATATATATATGTGTATATATCTATATGTATATAGTGTACATTAGTTAATATATAGTGTATAAATATTTAGTGTGTGTATACACACACTCACATACACACACACACAGGTTTGTTTTTGTGAATTGTGGGAACATTCCATAGGCGTAATGGTTTTTATACTGTACAAACTGTATGTGCTATTGCCCTACACCAACCCTACCCCTTACAGGAAACTTTGTGCGTTTTTACTTTCTCAAAAAAACTCACTCTGTATGATTTATAAGCGTTTTGAAAAATTGGGACATGGGGTAATTTCTATAATATATATATTACCGTTCAAATGTTTAGAGTCAAAAATATTATTTTATGCTCACAGAGGCTGCATTAATTTGATCTAAAAAGAGCAAAACTGTAATATTGTGAAATATTATTACAATTTAAAATTATTTAAAATACCTAATAGTTTTCTATTGTAATACATTCTAAAATGTACTTACTTTTTTAGAATTCTTTAATGAACAGAAAATGAAAAAAAAACAGCAGTTATTTAAAATAAGAATATTTTGTAACTAATAATTAATAATAATTAATTAAATAGTAATTAAATTAATTAAAGTTTTGTTTCTTATTTCGTTCTTTGTCAAAAAAAGAAAAGAAAAAAATTACTGACCCCTAAAATTTAATGTGTGTGTATATACTGTATATTACATTTCATTTTTTTTGTGGAGTAAGGTGCACAATAAGAGGTAATTTTGGTTGATTCTTACTTTAGTACTATTTTGTTATTATTATTATTATTATTATTATTATGTTAAATTACTGTTGATTGTTTTCTAGACAAGTTGGAGCACTGAACTGAACCTTGTGAATTTTAGAGACAGCTCTCCATTACTGCACAGTAACTGTTACCTAAAGTTAAAATCACCTCTTTTTACTCATAAATAGCCGTGTTCATTGGTCTACTCTGTCACATGGTTTCAGATTATAGTAGTTGTGAATGTGTTTCCTATGAGACCAAAAGCCTTGAGCACAGTGCCCAGTAATGACGAGAGGTCCCTCACCTTGTCACCACTCCATTTATGATGGTTTTAATTCACCTTTTTCTGTCTTGAAGCCAAATGGTTATTTTTCCTCGGTGCTGTACACTCTTAAATATGCTGTTTGAACCTTAAATAGCCCTTATCAATCCACTTTTCAGCCACTCTAACCCCCTTTCTGCCCTCTGCCCTGCTTAATTTGATACTTTCATACTTCATTTCATACCACAGGCCTTGCTGTGCGGTCTTCCTGTATTCCTGTCTCATTAAGAAAGAGTGAGAGGTGACATGAACGAATAGAAATAGAAGAAAAATGATGAAGACTATTACAAAATGAGCTTATATCACAAAAAGACTGTTAAAAGCTAAATAATTAAATCGAAAACCCATTAATTTGCTTTGTGTTGATAATAAAACAAATGTGCTGTAATTATATTAGTCTAATTACAATAAGCACATACTTTGACTTTCCTTCTTTATTTATTCATGTAGATGATTTGATTTCAATATTTATTTTTATAAAGATTTCACAAACCAAAGCATTGGACATTTTGTGGTGTTAATTGTTTTGACAGTATAAGGGTTATTTTAGAGAAATATGCCATATGCCAGCATAATACAAATGTGCATATTTTGCCTTTATGAAAATAAATAGGGTGTAGTTTGTCATGAATGATTTAATTTGTTCTCAAACTGTTTCTATAGCATCAGAATGCTTTTCATACACAGACACATTTGTAATATTTCTGTCACACTTTATGATCTTACATTCTAATGTTGTGTTTATTTGTAATCATGAAGAGTAAATGCAGATTTTGTCGAGTTGTTTGCAGAGCCAGAATATGCCTTTTTCATGGAACAATATTAGTTTTCAGCTCCTGTTGCTTGTATTGTTTTAACCTTGTTATATATAAACTCCTTTCCCACAGCTGAGCTCTAACAAGCTGAGAACATACGCATCTAAATTTCATCCACAAATTTTATAAAAAAAAGATTTGAAAACCGTTTTCAAATTTTCTATTTCATAATGCATCAAGCTATACACTTAGTAGGGCATGTTGACTATATATCTGAGTTGGCAAAAAATGTACTGTCATCTGACAATTTTCTCCTCAGAAATCAGATACTCCTGGATATTTAATGGCCGCCCCAGCATTGTTGTTGGGGACAACCGACGATTTGTGTCCCAGAGGACTGGAAACTTGTATATTGCAAAAGTTGAGATGTCAGACGTGGGTAACTACACATGTGTGGTAAGGAATGTGATGACCAATACGACCGTCTACAGTTCCCCAACTCCAGTGGTGCTACGTTGGGACGGTGAGTAGCCTGGAGGAACTGCTAACAGTGATGAATCAGTATATTTGAGCATGACGGTGTTTGCTTTGGTGCCACTCAGAGACATAGCTTTTGTGTATTCATAGTCTCTGAGCCGTGCTCAGCCAACTGTGTGTGTGTGTGTGTGTGTGTGTGTGTGTGTGTGTGTGAGAGAGAGAGAGAGAGAGAGAGAGAGAGAGAAGGAGAAAAGATTCTGCATTAAGAAAGAAGACTTCAACCCTCACACACACACATATACCCTGGGAGGCTCAACATCACCAGTCATTAGTGTCTGTTTAATATTCACACAGACAAGGTATATGAAGTAAGGCGGAGAGGTTTTGAATATCTTGAGTTAATGTGAATATTGAATATTTTTATCTATGAATATTTTGGGCACTGCTGTACTACTTTACTAATTCGTATTTCTTACTTTTTCTTGCGTTTGATCTACATTCCCTGCTGAAAAGGCATTTTAGACCAGCATAAATTTACATGATTTTCTAGTTGGTGCAGGTTGATCAGCATAGCCAAAACCATCATGATCTTTTTGCTAAAGCTGGTTGACTAAGGGCGTCTTTTTGGCAAAGCAATGTTAACAAAATTAGTACCAAAAATCTTAGTTGACAAAGTTTTTTTTTCTTTTCATTATAATTTTTTTACTTTTTTTACTTTTTTATTGTATTTTTATATATATTTTTTAAGAATTCACAACTTACCTAATGCAAGCACTGTTTTCATGTTATGTCATGTTATGTTATGCTATATGTTTTATATTTTTGATGCATGTTTAAATTTATATGTTTTTCATAATGTATTTTTTATATAAGTTTGGTCTGTTTTTTATTATTATTTTTGACATTACCATTAAATAACATGTATTGTTGTTCACTGAAATATTTTTTTTAAGTATATGTGACCCTGGACCACAAAACCAGTGGGTCCAGTGGGTAAGGGTCAATTTTTCGCAATTGAGATTTATACATCATACGGAAGCTGAATAAATAAGCTTTCCATTGATGTATGGTTTGTTAGGATAGGACAATATTTGGCCGAGATACAACTATTTGAAAATCTGAGGGTGCAAAAAAATCTAAATATTGAGAAAATCGCCTTTAAAGTTGTCCAAATGAAGTTCTTAGCCATGCATATTACTAATCAAATATTAAGTTCTAATATATTTACAGTAGGAAATTTACTAAATATATTCATGGAACATGATCTTTACTTAATATCCTAATGATTTTTTGGCATAAAAGAAAAATCTATAATTTTGAACCATACAATGTAATTTTGGCTATTGCTACAAATATACCCCGGCGACTTAAGACTGGCTTTGTGGTCCAGGGTCACATATAGGATATTATTAATATTTTTCAGAAATATAAAGTTGTTTTACAAGTTTTACTTGTTTACTAAATATAAAAGTATAATTATGAGTCAAATGAACTGAAATGAATGAAAATGGCATGACAAAATATTGTCAAAAGACTGACTGAAAATAAAAATAAACTTGAAAAATGAATAGCGTTGTTAACCTAGTTAAAAACCTAGTGGGAACACAAGCATCCAGAACATTACATATGCTGGTGACCAGCCATTGTCTTTTCAGCAAGGTTTCTTGGCAAGCTGCATGTGTTGTGAACTTGTTTATATGCCTTGTTTGCACATAAAGTGATGTACATATATACTGTGAATAGTATAATAATTTCTGAATTGAAGCGCATTGGTTTTACCCTGAAAGACTTATGCTTGTCTATCCTCATTTTTCAGCTGTGATGGGGGAATATGAGCCAAAGATTGAAGTCCAGTTTGAAAAAATGCTCCACGTTGCCAAAGGATCATCAGTTCGACTGGAATGTTTCGCTTTAGGAAAGTAGGTCTCTACTTTACTAACAGATGGACTCCTTGCCTCCAGAGGGTTGCGTTGCTAACTGGGGATTTCCACAATTGGCACATAGTACATCTTAGCAATTATTTAAGAGAAATGTCTCAGAAATATACAGGATCCTTTAATCTTAGTGAGGTA